CTGTGTGTGCAGTGTCTGTGTGCAGTGGCTGTGTGCAGTGGCTGTGTGTGCAGTGGCTGTGCCCCCAGTTGGCTGACTCAGGCAAGTGTCTCTCCTCTTGCCGAGGTCACGTAGGGTGCATCCCAGCTCAGAGCCACGTGATCCCTGCTGGTGCCCCAGGCGCTTGGGGCGGCTCCGGGTTGGCCTGAGTCAGCAGGGAAGTGCAGTGGCTCCCGCCAGCTTCTAGGACATGCGGCTGCGCACATGGAGACGTTCTGTTCCTGGATCACAGAGGTCCTCACTGTTGGCAGAGCGCACCCACTGCGGGTCATCGCTAGCCCTCCTCTGTGTGTGCTCGGGCCTGCTAGTGTCAGCGTGGCTGCCGACACACCTCAGTGCCCAGGGAGGCCAGGGGCAGCCTCTGCTGTGTGTGCACTGCCTTGGGGCTGTGCGGTCCTAGGCTGTTGCCGACTCTTGCAGAGCGGAGTCCGGAGAGGAGGTGTGGGACGCGTGCCTGGGGAGCAAGAGGCCTGGCTGTGCTCCCCGGAACCCACACAAGGAAGGGAGCCAGGGTGGCCACACACTTTCACCACCACAGAGACACACTGGGTCCCTGGAGCCCTCGGCCACCCCGGCCTGACCTGCAGGCTCCAGGACAGCAAGATGCTGCCTCAAAGACAAGGTGGGCCACCTGAGGGGTGATGGTGGCCTCAGGCGAGTCTGTCACACACACGCACGCACACGTGAATCTGTCACACATGCACACAGGAATGCATGCATTCCTCCCACACTCAGGGCTCAGCAGATGCGTGCAGTGAGGACAGTAGACACATAACTGTAAACATTTTAATCCCTAAAACAGGTGTGTGCAAATGTGCTCGTGTACAGTAGAACGTGTTCGGCTCGGAAGACGGGCATGCATTCCTGGGAAGCACGCGGGGTCCTGAGGGCCCAGAAGCCTGAGGAGCAGAGGGCGGGGCGTGTCGCCTCTGGGCTCTCCTGGATCAGCTGTTGCTAGTGGCTTGCACCTACAGCTGGGCGAAGGCGGTGGAGAACGGGCCCTTTCCAGGTGGCCTTGCAGTGAGCAGTGACCTGCGGGTGTGACCGGATGTGCCCTGCTCCGGGGCTGTGCCCCAGTGCTCTCGGGGAGAGTAACCTAGCACGGGGCTGCTCTAATTTTACCGGCCAGGAGGGGCTGGTCACCGTCCTCACAGGGCTGCTTTAAGATGGGCGTGGCTTTCGGGAGAAGCGTCCAGCCTGTGCCTGATGAGGCACAGCGTCCACCGCCCCCTGCGAGAGTGTTTCAAACCTGAGATAAACGACCGCTCTTGGCAGCCCTCCTCTCCCCGGGGAGGGCCGAGTGGCCGGGGTCCCCGGGTCCCACTACTGCTCGTCAGAGGCGCTCTGCTGGGAGGCCGTGTCGTCCAGGCCCATGTCCTCCTGGCTGGCCCTCCGGCACAGCACGCCCGGGGGCCCGGCCTCCGCCAGGCGTGCATCTCGGAGCCGCCCCTGCTCTGGGCTGTCACTGGGCTCGCACGGATCAGAGAAGTGCTTAAGGAAGAAGAGAGGAGCAAGGACGTTAGGCCTGTGCTCCCTGCCTCCCGAGTCCCCCCATCACCCGGACAGACACAGGCACCAAGGCCGGAGGCTGCACGTTTTGAGGGCGGGCCCTTACACGCGGGCCTGTCACCGAGCCCGCTAGTGTCCAGGGCTCTGCTCCGGAGCTCTGGACACGCCCCCAGGTCTAAAGGCAGCTCCAGGCAGTGGAGTGTGAGTGTGTGTGAGAACCAGCCACCCTCCCGGCCCTGGGCTGGTGCTGCCATCGCACACTCAGCTCACAAGTGGCTCGAGAGCCCTTGGGTTCCGGATGCTCAGAGTCCTGAATGTCATCCTTGCTGGAGACCGAAGAGGGGGACTGCCAGAACCCTGGAAGTGTGCAGTGGGCCGGGCAGGAGAGGAAAGGTGGTTTGTGCCTCTGCCGAGGGAGAAGATGGAGGGTAACTGAGCTCGGGACTCCGGAGAGAGCAGCAGATCTGCCCGAGCTTTGCCTCAGCCCATTCTGTTTCCTTTCCTAACCGAGGCCGTGGGGGCACTCCTGAGGGCCTGCCCCTTTCTTTCTCACACAGGAGTCTGACCTGGAGTCGGCCAGCGTGAATTCTGGGCAGGCAGCCTCTTATCTGCCCCTGGTTCTGGCACGGCTTGGAAGTGTTGGCCATCTTAAGGCGGGGAGCCCAGGACAATTTTAGAGCGGTTCTGGCACAGCTTGGAAGTGTTGGCCATCTTGAGCCCAGGACAATTTTAGTGCGGTGCCCACTCCTGTCCTTCCTTCCCCCTCGGGCCAGAGCACCACATCGGAGAGGAAGGATCTCGCTCCCACAGAGTGGGTGAGGAGGCGTCGTCCCTTTCCTAGGCTCTGGCTTACGGAGATAATCATGCTGGGGTCCACTGAGCCCTAAAATCACCCAAGGGGCCTATGACCCAAGAGCTGGGGGGTCGCCTTGCTTGCTATGGCGCAGCCAGCCCTAGAAGAAGGCAGGGGCTCCTGGCTGGCGGGACCCTGGCCCACGGCGCCCTCCTGCCCGGCCCCCGCTGCAGCCCTTACCCGAGCAGCGTGGCCAGCGGCCCTGGCGGAAGGGCCCATCACGATGTTGACGCTGCTGGAAGACTGTGTGTCACTGGTGTTGCCGCCCTCTGCGGCAGAGAGGCCGGATATGACCAGTGCGCTGGAGAAGCTCCTTTTGCCAAAGAGGAAGCTGAGAGTGGAGCTGGTTGAGGAGCCCAGGCTAGACCGAATGAGTGCCTCGGCCCGCTCTCGGACACTCAGGTGGCCCGTGGTCGTGACAGGAGGTGGCTGGGCATGCAGGGAGGCCGCAGAGGTGGGCAGGGAGAGCCGGCTGCCCGAGGGCCGCTGGGCCAGCTCGTGCACAGACGTGGACGTCTGGAGGAAGGCCTGGTGGCTCTCCAGGATGGGACCCGAGGAGCTCAGATGAGGCGGCCTCTGGCTCACCGATGAGTGTGCCTGGACGGAGTGGCTCCTGCCCTTCCTCCGGCCTGTGGGAGAGAGCAGAGCAGCTGTCAAGCCCGTAAGGAACACTCACTGAGGTGGCCGTGACGGACACGGTGGCCGGCCACTGAGGGCAGCACGCTCTCAATACCATGGCTGCATGGGCCGCCTCCCAAGTGCCACTGCCACGACTGAGCTCACCTCCACGGCTGCCGCTTCAAGGGAAATCTCAGGAGGCCACGAGCGCCACGCACGTTTATCACCAGGCTTTGTTTCCCCTTTTAAATGTAGCGTTTAATTACTGTGTTCAGTGAACTGTTTTTTCCTAATTCTGTGTGTGCGTGTCTGTGTGCGTGTGTCCTCGTGTGCAGTGCTCCCGAGACTCAAACGTCAGATACCCTGGACCTGGGGCTGCAGCTAGGGGGTGGCTGGCCCTGACCCCGCCCCCTCACTGTGCTGCGGTGACGGGCAGTGTGCCTCGGCTCTCACGCGGGCCAGGCCGAGGAGCTGCTCCAGGCCAGCTCTGCAGGCTGAGGCGGTGAGCATTGTGCCGACTGAGCCATCTCCCCAGCTACGCCTCAGGCTCTGTCAGCTTTGTGCTGCTCTTCTTTATTTTCAACTTTAATTTTACAAGTGAAACAGCACCGCGCCCAAGAAAGCCGCATCAAAAATCATCTGTGCAGCTGCTCCAGCTCCCTGTTTCATAATTAGCCTGTTCTTCCACAACTGCACGTCAAGCCGCTAGCACTTCAGGGAGAGCCTTCAGGCCTGAACGGAGACGGAGCGGAGATCTCGCTCCCTGATGTTTTCTTCATCTTTGGTCACTAGCTGGAAGGTTGTGGAGAGAGCCTTGGTGACGCGAAGCTGCAGCCCTTCTCTCGTGTGGGATGCCCGCTAGCGGCCCGTGGCTGCGATCTGTACCGTTCAGTCCAACCAGATGACTGGGGGTATAAGGAGCTTTGCCAACAGACGAGCTGGTCATGGGAGGCGGCGCACGGCAGGGAAGACCGGCCAGTCAGCTGGGCGGTGCAAACGAGGTCCTGCTAGCGGCGCACACTCACACTGCCCAGTGACAGCGTTCTGCCTGTGCTTCCCAGCCCCGAGAGCCTGTCTGTCACACTCACACGGCAGCTAGCACTTAAGGTTTAGCAGAACTGGCTTCCCAGGCTCCGGTGTGGCATCCGGGTGGTGGAGGCTGGGACCTTTGAGCGGCTCCTCCCTGGAAGAAGTGGGTCACGAGCAGGCTGTGGGGACTACTGTCCGGCTCCCCTCCCTCTGAGCGCACTCTGCGTCTGTGAAGACCAAGTGCAGAACCCCATCTGCAGACAGAACCCATAACCCCCGCCAGCCTCCCCGCCTTCCCAGGCGCTGGACCCAGTCCCCTGAGTCAGTCAGTTGGGTTGCTCTGTGGAGACCAGGAGCTGGTGGAAGAGAAATGCAGGCAGTGGCCCTGTCTGTAGGTGGGGGAGGGGTGTGCCCTTCTCCTCTCTTGCCCTCCGAGTGTGCAGGGTGCAGGCTGACACTCGGCTCCGCTGGGCACAAGCTCAGGCGCCTTGTTGCAGTGCCCGCTTCCCTCATTCTTCCACGATAGGGAGGGGTCTTGCTTTGAACCGTGTTCCCATCCCTCGCCTGCCCACAGCGGGGAAGGGGCTGCCTCAGGAGGAATGAAGGGTCAGTTCCAGCTGCTGGAAGCCAGGGGACAGTATGAGGCTGTGGCAGGCAGGGGACACAGCCAGAGGTACAGCTGGAGGTGGTGCCCTGGGTCTCACCACCCTCAGGGCAGGGTAGCAGCTGAGGAGGCCATGGTGGGTGGACACAGGGGCTCAGGTCTGCCCCTCCTCTGAATCCAGCTTGGCTGCTACCTTAGGGTGATGGCGTACCTTCTCTGTGCTCCACATCCCCATCTGGGAAGGGGAGACAGCGCATCCCTGAGGGCCCAGAGCCCTGGAGAGTGTCGGGAAACCGTGTCAGCACAGCCCTTGGGTGGTGTCCCAAGATCAGCTCTGTGCACACAGCATCTGCAGCGAGGCGCAGTGCTCACACGGGGTGCAGAACAAGGAGGGCACCACCAGCTAGGTCAGGCTGGGGACCCCCGCCCCAGCGCTGGCTGTGGTCACAGGCCAGGAGCCCAGGCTCTGGGCCATTTAGCCAGCATGGTTCCTTTGCTTGCAAGTTCAGAGTCGGGCTGGACTTAGAAGAAGAGTTTTAAGAAGTGTAATCCAAGATCACCCCTGGTTTAGCTTTTCAAATATCTTGCACCAACACAGGCCTCAGATCACAGATCTAGTGGTAAGTGGAGGTAGGGGTGACCCCTGCTGTGTAGCTTGGGTCTTAGCAAAGCCAGGCATCTGGATCCTCTGGCCTCACCAGCTGAGGGGACTGCTCTGCTCTGCTCTCTGCTCTCTCTCCGCCCTGCTCTCTGCTCTCAGCTCTGCTCTCTCTCTGCTCTCAGCTCTCTGTTCTCTCTTTGCTCTGAGCTCTCTGCTCTCTGCTCAGCTCTCTCTCTGCTCTGCTCTCTCTGCTCTCTGCTCTGCTCTCTTTCCACTCTGCTCTCTGCGCTGCTCTCTCTCTGTTCTTTGTTCTGCTCTATTTTCTGCTCTGCTCTCTCTCTGCTCTCTGTGCTGCTCTGTTCTCTGCTCTCTGCCCTGCCCTGCCCTGCTCTGCTCTGCAGGCAGAAGGCATTCACCAGGAAGGCCTCGGATGCCAGTGAGGGCCTGGGACACATCTGTGCCTCTCCAGCCTTGTTCTACTCAGATGTGTCAGCTGCAAGGCCAGGACAGTGCAGGTGCACGCAAGCTTTCCCACCTGGAAATGCTTTTCCTTTGCACATGTGTGATGCCTCATGTCAAAGGCTACGGAAGCAGTGACCACCCCGGGCTGGGGCCTGAGGGCTGTGCTGGGCTCAGGGACAGCAGCTAGCAGGTGAAGGGGTGGTGTCTGCGCCCAGTAACCACCTGCAGCCCTTCCCCCTCCGCCGCCCGCCTGCTCGGCCGCTTCACCGCTGCACTGCCAGCCCCCGCTTATCTGTCTTCCCTCACTCCTGTCCACCTCCTCTCTCCACAGTCCTGCTCCTCACCTGTCCGCATCTGTCTGATCTATCAATCCATCCATCTGTCTGTCTATGTATCATCTATCTATCTATCTATCTATCTATCTATCTATCTATCTATCTATCATCTGTCTATGTATCATCTATCTATCTATCATCTGTCTATGCATCATCTATCTATGTATCATCTGTCTATCTGTCTACCTATCTGTCTGTATCATCTGTCTGTCTGTCTGCCTACCTACCTGCCTACCTATTACCTATGACCATATCTACGGCCTTCCAGTCCTCTCTACTCTCTGTTATCTATCAGTCATTTACCTGCTCATCTGTTCAAGCCCCCCACCCCCAGCCAACCCGTCACATTCTTGTAATCTTACATCTTGTCTCCCCATCCTCGCCTTGCTCTGGGCACTGACCTCCTGGTCCCTCTGGTGCAGTTACAGAGGAACCATCCACAGACGTGCTTATGAAATGCTTTTAGAAGCTGAAGAGAGAGAAGCTGGGGGCAAAGGATGGAAGTTCTGACAGGCTGCTGAGTGCAGAGCCAGGAGCACCAGGAACCAGGCCAGGGTCTCTGCCTCCTGGGCCGTGTCCTCTGTGATCCCTCCCTGTCCAGCCAGCTCAAAGCCTGTCCACTTAATACCGTGTGTTCCATGGGGTCGTGTCCTCTGTGGCCCTCCCTGCCCAGCCAGCTCAGCCTGTCCATTCGATACCATGTGTTCCATGGTTGGCAGAAGTGTTCTGAGATTTCGGCTCAGCTCCCAGGCCCTTCCTCTGTTCACTCTGATCGTGGCCTTCCACCCTTGTTCTTTCTGCCTTGGAATTTTGGTTACCACGGAGCGTGTGAGGGGCAGGGGACCGCCTACAGACCAAGGAGGTCTGTGCCCCAGCACGTCATAGCCAGGAACAGCACTGAGGGGCACAGGGTGCGTCTGATAGGCAGACAGACAGACAGACAACCACCCAAGGAAAAGGACACATGGATGGTGATTGACTAAAGCTGCACCCAGCTAGCAGAGGGCATCTCTGAGTAAATCTCTTCCCACAGCCAGCCCTAACCCCAAGCTCCTTGACAGCAGATAAAAGGCCCCGGCGAACAGAGAGCACATCCCACGACGCTGGACCCAAAGCGCACACTCACCTGCCCTCGGCGCCCTCCCGCGGGGTGAGGCCCACGGGGCGCCTCGCCGGGGCTGTTCTGTGCTGCTGTCGCGGCTCTCTCCACTAGGGGCGCTGCTGCCGCCTGCTGCCGGCGCCCCGGCGTCCACGTCTTCGATGTTGCCCCCGCTCCGCTGGCCCACACTGCAGTCCTTCCTCATTCTGCAGGAGGGACGGGAGCGTCGGGGTCCCACCTCCCACACACTCACGTGGCGCACAGGGCAGAGGTCCCGTAAGACTGTCGCCAGCTGACGGTCTCACGCGTGCATTCCGCAGGCTGTGAGCGACCTCCGACCCCTGACCCTGGCCGTGAATGACCTGGTGGACAGCACCCCCGGACTGCAAGTGAGGAAGGGGCCCAGGGCATAGTAAATAAATAAATGCTGACGAGGCATGCCGGGTGCAGAGGCGGCCGCTCCAGCCCTCCCTGTGAACCCATCGGGAGCGAGCCGCCGCACTCAGGCACTCAGCGCCCCCGGAAACTGGCCTCCCGTCCTCGTGTTAGGGGGAAAGGCAGAGTGGCACGCCCGAAGGCCCTCTGCAGAGGCCAGTCACTTCCGAACACCGGAGAGAGCTGGGGACAGGGCCTGGTCGTCAGGCGCCCGCTGTGCAGTGTAAGCCTGAGGACTGAGCACGCACAAGAACATGCGCGCAAACAAGATTTTAAAACACCACACAAGAGCGCCCACGGTCCCGCAGACCAGTTAGCGGGCACACAGCCTGGGCCTGAGCGTGGGGACAGCGACATTCCCCGGGGATCCTCCTCCCGCTGCCCAGAGCTGCCCGCGCTCTGCCCGGGCCTACCTCAGCCACCTGGCCTGGAGCCACGACCTCACGCGGTCCAGGGTGACAGGCCCGCCCCAGACGCTCCGCAGCTGCGTGTGCGTGCCGAGGTAGGACGTGGTCAGCGGCGACACGAACATGGGGTAGCCCAGGGGCTGGTCGCAGGACGAGTTGATGAGGTTGCGCAGGACCTGCTTGTTGTTCTGGATGCTGCCGCGCTCCGGGTTGCGGTTGCGCAGGAAGATGAGCTCCTGCTGCTGCCCGGCCCAGAGGCCCCGCACGCACTCCCTGTTCACCTGCGGGTGGGAGGAGTGGGAGGGGCCGTCAGCTACCGCGGGGACCCTGGGGACGCTGGGGACCCGCGGGGAGCGGGTGTGGCTCTCGGGCAGGGAGTCTGAGGATGTAACTCGTGGTCTAGGCCACAGTCTCTGGCCTAAATGACGTCATATTCTTGGGGGGGGGGTAGGGAAAGCAGCAAGGAGGTAGGATTTCCTCTTAGCCCTGTCGAAGATGAAGGGTCACGGGGAAGAGGGCTCTCACACCCAGGCGCAGGCAACAGAGACAGTTCTGGAGCCTTCCAGGCCACGGCCAGTGGCCACGAGTCTTATAAGTTACCTAAACGCATTCAGAGACTTGAAAACAGAACGCGACTCTGCTGTGACTTTGGTTCTGCAAGGAGGCAGATGCTCCACCAGCGAGCCAAGGCTTTCCGGCTGCTCCTCGGCCCCGCCCCCGCCCGCCGGGCCCGCCCCCTGACCTAGGGCCCCAGCTCTGCCCTCTTTCCCTTTGCTCCCCCGTGGGAGAACAGGGCGCCGCTCACCTTGATGACCTTGAAGCTCAGGAAGCCCCTGTGCAGCATGATGACCTTGTACTCGTCGGCGCCCTCGTCCACCACGTGCCTCAGGGTCAGCAGCTCCTCCTGGTTGGACAGCACCGCGGCTCTCCAGGCCGGGTCCCCCTCGTGGCAGATGACCACCTTCTTCTCGAAGGCCCGGATGGCTTCGTAGAGAACGGCGGGCTCCTCGTACTCGTCCGGGCAGGTGAACTGGTCCTGTGGGGAGACCGCGGGGGGCTCAGCGAGGCCGGGCAGAGGGCCCTCCTCCGCCCCAAACCCCGCCCCTGACCCCTGAGCTGGGCATCTCAGCCTCTCCCTAACCAGGTGGAGCACGCTAGCAGGGCGCTGCGTTTCTCAGGCCTCCGTGACGTCTGTGTCAACCCCGCTCTTCCTAGTGGACTGTCACCTCGGGGAAGATGGCCGTTGGGTAATGTCGCGTTTATTTAGACCACCTCACTGTTTGCAGGGCTAAGTACTGAGTAATTCCTGAGGCTCTCCAGAAAAGGGGCGCATTCTTCCGAAAGATTCTGTTTTTATTAATTCGTTTGTGTAGGGTTTTTTTTCTGAGACAAGAACTCACACTGTAGCTGAGGCTGACCTAGAGTAATTCCTCACTTTTTGAATTTTATTTATTTATTCACTTTCCATCTTGACTGCAGCCCGCTCCTCCCAGTCCCCCTCTTCATTCCTCAATTTAATTAGTGTTTGAGCGTGTACCACACACCAGAGAGATGAAGGCTATGGACGTCATCCTGTGTGTGTGTGTGATGCGTGTGACTGAGCATGCAGAGACAGAGGGCAGCCCTGGGCATCTCGCTGGCTATCCGTGTGGTGTTTGAAACTGGGTCCTTACTGGCCAAGCTGGGAGAGGCTGGCGGCCTGCGACCCCAGAGAGCCGCTGGCGTCCGCGCCTTGGTTTTCTACCTGTGTTCTGTGTTCTAACTCTGGTCCCTGAGCTTGCACAAGCACGTCACTGACTGAGGTGTCCCCGCCCCCGCAGTCCCCCGCCTCCACACCCCGCGTTATTTACTCTTCTCCTCACTGTAACCCAGAACTGGACACAAACAACTCGAAGGGAGAAGCTCTCCGTTTCAGCTCATGACTTTACAGGATTCGAGGTGGGCTCCTTGGCTGAGGTCAATCTAAGCGTCTGGGGCTGAGGAACATCCCAGAGCGGGGATCCCTGGGAGGAGGGTGGGGGAGGATAGGGAGGGTAGGGGAGGATGGAGGAGGGCCACGGAGGACGAGGAGGACAGGGAGATGACCATGGAGGATGAGGAGGACGGGGGAGGACCACGGAGGACAGGACGAGGCTGCTCACCCTACCGAGGGCAGAGAGTAAAGGTGATGAGCCGACTCTTTCTGGTTCCAGTTAATCCTTTTTGTGGGAGCGGCTTCTTACCTGGTGCAGTTTCAGGGACATCCGGACGGCGGGAACGACGACCCTGTGCAGCAGGTCCATGTCGGCAAACACCCACTCGTCTCGAGCGGTGACCCGGAAGTCGCCCTTGAAGAGGGCGTGCAGCCCGTACAGGAAGGAGTCCAGGCTGCAAGCACAGGCAGGCACGTGGGCCCCTGAGCACAGCACCCACGGCCTCTCTGTCCCCCCAGCGCCTGCATTTCCCGGGGCTGGGTAGATGGCACACACAAACACGAGGACCTGAGTTTCCAGAACCACATCAAAAGCCACGTGTGCTGGCTTGTGCCTGTGGTCCCAGTGCCAGGGGCTGAGGCAGGACGGGCCCTGGGTCTAGCTCAGCCAGTGAGTCCAGACCAACGATGGATGGAAACAAGAGTAGTGAGATGCGTGGCCCCTTGCCCGAAACTGCACACATCTTCATATGATTTAGGCTGGCCCGGCATGGAGAGGGAGAGGGCTCTGGACTTCCCCCAGAGCCCCCAGTGCCCGGCCCCACAGCTGGGTGTGAAGTGTGCTGGTGCTTAGTGGACGGTCCTCTTCACCATAGAAACCACTGCCATGGGCTCTGACCATGAAACTGAAACCCAGCCTGGAACAGCCAGACACACACACCAGAAGGCAGGCTCACCCTCCCAGCCACACTGGCACTGCCATGCCTCCCCTCCCCCCTCCTCCCCTCAACAGCATCTTACTTCCCCTCTTGAGGTCTCAGGGCTGTGTTAACCACAGTAGAAACTGGATTCTCCCAGAACACAGAGAGAGGGAAAATAACCAGGTGGCACCCAAGCATGGACTCTTGGGTCCTCCGGGCACCTCTGCTCTTTGCCTCCCTTTCTTCACACCTAGGGAAGAAGCAGGGCGGTGAGGGTCAAGGTCAGGGACCCTCGCTCTGCCAGGGCTGTCAGGGCTTTCTCATGTCCAGGCTCTCCTGCTTTGTCTCACTTCCTGTCTCTCTCTGCTCTCATTGAGAGTTACCTGAGCGATGAACAGGGCCCCGGGGCCTTGTCTGCCTGCACATGACAAGTGAGCTCGGGAGAGCACTGTGTCCTGATTTGGGGATAGGAAGGATGGTCTTCCTGTCCTCTGTTCTTCCGTCTACACTGTGCCTTCCCATGGGTACCCTGAGATGCAGGGTGAAGCAAACCGGACAGACAGCACCCTGGACAGGGCTGGCTGGGGACAGGAGAGCAGGACGAATGTGGGGAAAGAATCTTCAAGGATTTAATGGGAAGACTTCTGAGCCGCTGACCTGAGCCTCAGGGAGGCGCAGCCCCTGCCTAGAGTTGCTGTGGGATACGCCCTCTTTGTCGATTTCCACCCAGGAGAACAGCACACAGGCTTTGTGCTGGAGCAGGCTGTGAGAAATCAGGCTGCCCGCCAGGGCCGCCTCAGATGGGCTGGAGGGACCTAGAACCTTCTGTACCGAGGTGGAGGAGGTGGCCGTTTCCAAAGGCTGTCTGCTCAGAGCAAAGCTCCCAATAGGCTGAGTGCTGCAGCCAGTTCCTGGGGGCAGAGAGGCCGTAGGGACAGAGCGGGGCTGCAGCCGGGCTGGCTCTGAGGTCTGAGGCTTCCATAGTTGAGTGACACCTGCCATGGGCAAACATCTGGGGATGCCCCTGTTGCTGGAAAGGCGCTAAGCACGTATGTGGAAGTGAGGTGCTAGGTCACGTGTGGGCCAAGCGCAGGAAGGTACCGGGGACAGCCCTGTGCATCAGTGTAGGAGGGAAGCTCCTTTTAGATGTGAGAACGAGGACAGCCCAAAGGGAGACCCGAGGATTCACCCAGGGAACCCCACAGCTACGGGAGCCTGCTGCTGGTCCGCCGGAGCCTCCCTGAGACACCCGGCTCCCATCTGAGGCCTCAGCTGTGCTCCAGAGGCTGACCCTCTGTTCAGGGAAACGACGCTGTGCGGTGCTCAGTGTTTCCTTAAAATGCCTCTCCACGTGAACCGAGACCACGAGGGAGCCCCTCCAGCCCGGGGAGTCACCCCCGACCTCAGACACTGAGCAGCTCCAGTGGGAAAGAAGAGGAAAGGAACATCCTGCCAGCTGCTGGAGTACGGCTGGGTGGAGCACAGCAGGGCAGGGGCGGAGCATGGAGGGCGCAAAGTCTACACCACCTGCAGGGAACTTGGCTTTGGAGTTTTCAGCTGAGAAGCCAGCCTGACTGCATGCCCTCTCTGGGCTGAGAGGCGGATTCCTGAGGCTCACTGGGCAGCCAGCGGAGCCCACAGGGACACACCAAGCCATTGGGAGGACTTGTTTCTAGACAGAGGTGTGCGGTGCCTGAAGAATGGCAGCCGAGGCCATCGCCTGGCGTCCACACACACCCGTATAAGCACATGGATACACACACACTGACGGCACTGAGAAACGACAGACTCCCACATGGCGGGGTCTGGGCTGTCGCAGGCTATGTCACCACGGGGCTGGACGCCTGGAGGACCAGCAGAGGGCAGCTGCGTCCAGGCAGGGACAGCAGGAGGAAGCCACATCTGGCTTTGAGCCCAGCCCTTCCGGTTACTGCTCTGCCCTCCTTCAGTCTGACAGGCACTACCATGCCTCTCATATCAGGGAGGATTAGACACCTCGAGCCAAAGCTCTTACAGGCCTTCTGAGCTTCGCGACAAGAACGACAACTACCACAAAGCCTGAGCAGCCCAGCCTGGCTGTTGCCTGTGCTCTCTCAGTCACTGGGATTGGGCCCATGGGGACAGCTGTCCACGTCTGGTCACAATTGTCATGGCAACTATGCAGGGTGGTTGGGTGGAGTCTGAGTGCAAAAGCAACCCAGAGCAGTGCCCATGGAGGTGCTGTGGCCCAGTGCTGACAACCCCAGGACCCCTGGGGATGAGGACAGTGCTGGACGTGGGGTTAGCCAGTGCCAGACACAGGTCTATGTCGGGGGTCACTGCCGGGGTCATCAATCAGCAGGTCTGGACCTGAGGCTTCAGGGAAGGTACAGGGCAAAGGGAGGGTTTTCTCAGGGCTCGTCAGGGCATGCCCAGCGCAGACGGACTTGCTCTGTGCCCCTAACATGCCCCGCCCTCCACACCGCCACAGCCAGGCCCTTGTGAGGAGCAGAGACACTGCTGTGGGGATACCCAGAGCTCAAGGTGTCGACCTCTGCCACCAAGCCGGGAGCAGACAGGAGGCCTGCCCCCTGACCACAGTGAGCTGTCTCCCTGGGCGCCTTACTGCCCTCTGGACAGCCACAGACAAGGCTCTACCTCACACCAGCTCCTGGGACCAGCGCCACCTCTGGTCACAGGTGCATTCGCTGGCCTTGGTCATCCTTACACGCCCAACACAGCCACACAGATACAGTTAACACACCACGCCAGAGGAATCAAGAAGGAAAAGCTGGGGGAGCGAGCTGATGGGCAGGGTCAGAACTCAGCGTGCGACACTACACTGGGGCCGCAGGGCCAGCTGGGCAGCCACCCTCACCCGGACACAGCTTCTTACTGACACAGCTGGGCTCCTTCCCTGCTGCCCCAGGGAGCGCAACGGCCCTGCTTCTTCAGGCTGCGGGCAGCGAGGGGGAGTGCGGCCCGGCTCACTGCGGGTCACCCCGCAGGTCACCCGGTGCTTCCTCCACTTTGGGGGCATGTAATGTCCCCCGCACCTTCAGCACCACAGCACAGTCGCTGCTGTCAGAGCCCTGTTCCCCGTTCCCTTCTCACGGGATGGGTTTGAAACTGTGACCCGTGATCCAGAATAAACCCTTCTTTCCTTTAACTTGCTCTCAAAGGCATTTCCATCATAGTGGCAACAAACAGACGAAAGCAGAAACTATTGGTTCCCGACCAGCACGCCCTTTGACTTCCCGTGACAGCGCCCCCTGGTGTCTAAGATAAAAACCTTCCCGTCAGGGATCCCGGCTTGAAACCAGGTGGAGAAGGACCAGCAGGATGCCCGGTTGTTCCCTCAGGCTAGATGCCTCCCTGGAAATGAAGAAGTGTGATCTGGAAACCCTCCAGATGCCATGTCTGCCTCCCAGCCCTGGATCACGGCGTGCATGTCCCACACCCAGGTTCTTGGGTGGGTAAGAGGACAGGGACTCCGGTCCCCATGCTCGCACAGCGAGCTCTTTAACCCAGGCTGTCTCCCCAGCTCTTATCTCTCAGAGCAAGTTAGAGAGGACCGGCAGGCTGAGCACAACTCCCAGCAGACACCCATGTCAGCATTCTCATTAGCCTGTGGGCTCAACTGCCACATCGGGGAGAGGCAGGTGTGTGGTGACCAGCCACTCCCACGGGAAAGGATTCCTGTGGGCAGGAGAGGGCACGACGTTCCTGAGCTCGGAGTCAGCATGGAGTCGGTGCCCAGGCAGCTTCGCACACCACGGCCTGGCACACGCCATGGCAGCACAGATGCTCGGCAGGGAGGAAGCGACAGACACACTGGACTAGCTGGGATGCCCGGGGCTCTCTCCTCCTTTCCTCCATTCTCCTCGTTTTCCTCCAGGCCTGGGAACCGAACCTATGTTCCCACACTCACCCAGACAAGGCTCAGCCATGACCTCCACCCACAGCCTCTCTGTTAGATTCAACTGCTCCCTCGGGTACCAAGATTCTGATTTCAGCCGACAACCTACCTTAACCCCCTAAGTCAGGAGCTTCCATCTTTCTCCTGCCTCAGTTTCTCTGGGGCTGAGTACCAAAGGTGAAGCCACAGGACGGCCACTGATGGCCAGTGACTGAGGGGGTGAGTGGGCCCTGGGGCCCAGCTGCCTCAACAACATTTCCAAATGCAGCAGCCTGACGCTTACAATGAAGGGAAACGGTCTGCAGTTCCAGCCTGACGGGCTGAGGAAGGACGCCTCTGGAAGCAAGCAGGCCGGGTTTGAGGTAAAGGAAATGGCTGACGGTTTCCATCGACCGTGAACCCTGGCACCTGCCCAAGCCTAAGCCATCCTAGACGTACCTCATGGCCATACTGTGTGCTGCTGTTCCCAGAGCTCGCCTTCCCAGAATGCACAGGGCGAAGGAAAGTGTCACCAGAGGTGAGTCCTCATCGCTGTCCACGTGGTCCAGGGCCTTGGAGAGCTGAAAGAGCAAGGATGGGAACGCAGCTGACACCCAGGCTCTCACCTGGGTGGTCGAACAGGCTTCCGGGTGGACCCTGCTGCCAACCAGCTGCCCCTGGAGTGACGGCTTCCGTGCCCGGGCAGTTTCTCTTATGGCTGAACTTGGGAAGTGCTGTCTTAGTGACTTTTCTCATTGCTGTCATGAAATTCCTGACAAGAAGCAGTTAAGGAGGGAGGGAGTTTCTGGCCCATGGCAGAGACCACCGAGGAGGGGAAGGTGTGGTAGCAGGGGTGGGGGAGGGGCCGGTCACACGTCTGCACAGTCAGGAAGCAAACCCGGCACAGGAGGCAGGGCTGGCCTGTAAGGCCCCAAAGCCTGTGTGGTGGTTTGAGTGAGAATGGCCCCTTATAGGCTCAGGTACATGGATGCTGAGACAAGGGGTGCTATTTGAGAAGGATTAGGAGGTGTGGCCTTGTTGGAGGAGGCGTGTCTTTGGGGAGGGCTTTGAGGTTTTAAAAGCCCATGCCTGGCGCTCTCTCTCTCTCTCTCTCTCTCTCTCTGCCTGTGGATCAGGACGCAGAGCTCTCGGCTCTCAGCCCCCTCCCTCATCTCAACCCCTCCCCCCCTCCCCAACCTCAGCCCCTCTCCCACCCCTCCCCCTGCTCCGCCCCTGCCCACCTCCCGCCTCTTCCCAGCGCAGAACTGAATCCACTCCAGGAAGGCATTGCAGTAGCTGGCCCTCGTGATGCCCTGGAGACAGGGCACGTAGTCGTCGTCCGTGTTGACGCTGAACATCGCGGCGTCCCGCTCGATGTGGTGCCACTTGGCGAACGGCTGGAGGGACCGCAGCAGGGCCTCGTTCTTGACCCACGAGAGCAGCTTCGGGGAGGCCGCCAGGTAGTATATTATGCTCTGCAGAAGGCAAGGGACACTGAGGCTGCGCAGCGGCCTGCGGTAAAAACTTCGTCATTTTATTGCTTTATTTTATTTTATTTTATTTTATTTTATTTTATTTTATTTTATTTTTTGACTTATCCGGTCTCAGTGAGAAGGGGCTGGAAAGAAGGGGCTCCTCAAAGGCTGAGGAGCTGTCACTGGCTCCATCACTCAGCTTTGGCCACCCGGGTCTGGAGCCTCTGTTGGGGCCTCTCGGCTCCGGGGCAGGGGGTCCTCTGCTCACAGATAATTGCTCGGAAACCGGGAGTGTTAGACACTCAGGGCTGTCTCTTTAAAAGCAGGGGTATATGAACTGCTCTCTCTGCCCACACGGCTGGGACAGGCACGGCAGCCGGCTGGTGACCTCTGCAGGCCTCGCCTGACTCCCCAGACCTGACTGGTTAATTCTGTTATCTGTGGGATCCCACCCGATTCCCCAAGCCATTCTGGGTCTCTCAGACTCTCCTCCCTAGACTTATCTTCAGCGCTGTGTCCCGGTCGGCAGAACCCATCTTTACGGAAGAGGCTGTGTGTGCTTGAAGAGTCTTAGAATGTAGTCACGTCTTTAACTTGTACGCACAGGACTGAGTTCATTATTAGCAGAACCCCCCCCCCCCCAACATTGTGCTGTGCTTAAATGTGGATGAAATGGCCTGCCCGGGGTCTGACTCTAAAAGTCTGAGCCGACACCGGCCACTGAGCCCTGGGGAGCCGGATCTCGGTCCTGCCTAGTGGAGACCGTTGCTATGGGCCCTGGTGGATGCAGACAGCCACACAGGACAGCACTAAGTTGGGGGCCTCAGAAGGCCTGTCTGTAGCCTCCCCCAGCCCCGGCGCCATCACTAGCACTTTCCCTGTCCTCTCCTGTCCTGCTGTCCCTGCTTCTCAGACACACCTCCCAGGCCATCGGTTGGTACCTGGGACAGAACGACTTTTCTCCTCAGGGCATCGGAGCTGCACATCTCTTCTCTTTTGACTTTCCCTTTTCCCTTTACTCCCTCCCCGTCTGCCTCCTCAGCCTTGTTCTTCCTCATCTTCAGATTGTGTATTTGTCTTGTGCCTTGTAGCCAAGGATGACCTTGAACTTCTGGCCCTCCTCCCTCACCTCCCTTGCACACTGCACACCATAGCACCTGGCTTTATGCAGTGCTGGGGCTTGAACCCAGGTCTCTGTGCATGCCAGGCAAGCACTCTGCCAATTGAGACGCTTGTCCAGCTCACGCTTCCAGCTCTGAGCTGGACCATTTGCCCGTCATCTAATGAGGAGCTGCATAGCTCGAGCACGGAGTCTGTTCTCACTCTTCCCCCTCCTTCCCTCCCCCGCTTCACCCCTGCTCCCTGGCCTCTCACCCACCCCCTCCCTCTCACCTTGATGTAGAAGCGGACGAGCGCCCTCCGGAGGTCAAAGACCTGCAGCATGGTGGCCGCGTTGTTGTCGAGGATGCTGTAGCCCTGCAGGATGTACTGCGTGCGCGTCACCTCCCAGGTGAGCCAGCGCAGGTGGAAGGCGGCGTTGCAGGACAGCAGGTGCGGCAGGTGGCCAGGCCTGCAGCAGCAGCAGCCTTGGTCATCCTCGTCGCCCTCCAGGATGGCCTCCACCTCCCGCTGCTGGCAGTAGGTGCCTGGCCGGGACGCAGTGGACATCAGAGCACAGTGGCAGAGAGGGCAGAGGGGGAGGAGGGGGAAGAAGGCAGAGAGGGCAGAGAGGGCAGAGGGGGCAGAGAGGGTAGAGAGGGCAGAGAGGGCAGAGGGAGAAGAGGGCAGAGGGGGCAGAGAGGGTAGAGAACAGAGAGAACAGAGAGGGCAGAGAGGGCAGAGAACAGAGAGGGCAGAGAGGGCAGAGAGGGCAGAGGGAGAAGAGGGCAGAGGGGGCAGAGAGGGTAGAGAACAGAGAGAACAGAGAGGGCAGAGAGGGCAGAGAACAGAGAGAACAGAGAGGGCAGAGAGGGCACCAAGTCATGGACGGCTGTGAGCTGAGTCACAGTCAGCTGTGAACTGCGCTGGGAATCAAACCCGCCTGTCTGGAAGAGTCGCCGGGCACCTAGCCACTGAGCCGTCTGCCCAGCCCCGTGAGGCATCTCTACGGTGCTAGAAGGTGCCGGGATATGATGTTTGTTCTTAACTTAAAACAGACCTACCGAACAGCCATGATTCTCATAACCAGTAACTCTTAAGGTGTGTGCCTATGTGCAGGCGTGTATACATACTCCTCTGCGTGTGTGTGTGTGTGTGTGTGTGTGTGTGTGTGTGTGTGTATGTGTGTGTAAATCGGTAGGCAAGAGGTCAACCTTGAGGGTCATTCCTCGGGAGCTCTACCTTGTTTTTGGAGGCAGCATCCTTCAGCTGCCTGGAGCTCACTGACTGGGCTAGGTCGGCTCAGCCTCAAGCGTGTGCCCCGCACTGGGCTGTTTCTCTGCTCACAACCACTCAGATTTTTCTCTGTCCTCTGTGGTTGTGTTTTGGGAGATAGACACTTTTATGGCTGCCACAGGCTCATTGGTGGAGACTTGGAGAATCACCTCAGTCTTTGGTGACACAACTGAGGTTAGAGACATCTGTCCTGGAACACCTTCCCGGACAAATAACAAAGCAGAGACCGGAGGAGAGGGAAACACAGCGAAGAGAAAATAACGCTGGCCAGGGAAGAACAGCAGGCCAGCCAGGCCAAGAGCAAGCAATGTTGAGGTGGGAACGGAACCGTGTTCTGCTTCGGTCATCCTGAGCCTTGCGTGAAAGAGCTGCGCCCCAGCTTCTCAGTCCACACAGGAAGGAGGAATCCATGGCCTTCCATTGCTGTGGGATTTAACTCTTCCCTCAGTAAAGGCTGTGCTGCACGGGGTGTGTTAGAGAGAGGAGAGAGCCAAGCACATTCACCCATGGGGTGACCTGAAGCTCTGGGCCGGGGCATCTGCTAACTGCATTTCCTGTCAGGTTTTCTCTTTGGCTCGGAGACCATGTTAAGGCCCTGCTGGGGGTTCATCTTTCCTTCGTGAGTACAGTCTCAGGCTGCACCTCTGGATTACTTCATCTGTGTTGGGGTTTCCTACATCTGTCTTTTTTTGAGGGGTGCCCTGGTGTGTGCGTGGAATTCAGAAGACAGCCAGCTAGAGCGGGCTCTTTCCTGCCACCGTGTCGGTCCCTGGAACCGAACCGGGCTGTTGGGACTTTAAAGCAGGTCACCCCCGCTGGTCTGTCTCTGGTTTAGCTCTAACAGTGACAGTGTTTGTGTCAGCCACGGGCGGTTTCCACTTCCTAGGCAGAGACAAGCAGCTGGCGTATGCTCGCTGTCCTGTTGGCATTTGAAGGTTCTGAGCTGCCTCACTGAGAACCTGCCTACTCTCCCAATAGTCCAAGCCCCTGGTTAACCCTGCAGGCCTTGGTTCTGAACACTGGATGGCCTTGAATTGAGGATGACGGCTAAGTAGACAGGAGACTCAGCAAGGTGCCACAGGGACAGTGCCCCCTGTGGCCAGGAGCCTGTCACACAGGGTCACGATGGAGAGGTGCTCTGCCATAGATGTCGCTGCCAGGCTGTGCGGCCTCCACTCCTCTCCGTCTGTGAGGTGATCATGTACGGTATCCCCAACCCTGGGCCACCCCATCCCACACTGAGGTCAGGGCATGCTGAAGGCTGTGGACTGGTGTGTTTCCAGAGGACTTCACATGGGAACGGGGAGAGGGAGGGATCAGCCTCTGTTAACAGAGCTGTTAACAGGGTCCATGCCTTCTTCAACATTTTCACAGGCTCAGAAGGAAACAAGATTGTTTGCTTATGAATTGGGGTGCCCTAGATATCCCCATGAAGACGGATTTAGGGTTGAAAATGATCCTAGCATGGGGAGCAGACTCTAATACACTAAAATTCAGTGAGACCACAGACACCCTGCACATAGGATCAAAAGACCAAGCACAGGGTCTAGAAATCTACAGGAGCCCATTTAGCAGAATCCCGGCTACTGTCACGGGGTGTCTGATCCCACACCGGGGTGTCTAGAACCCACACAGCAGTGAAGCAGAGGGCAGCTTCAGCCCAAAGCCCATGCAAAGGGTCACTCGCAGAACGACACTGAGCTAAAGGATCTAGCTTGTGCTTTGTAAAGCTTCACCACGAAAGGAGTGAGGTGAGGCTCAGCAGACGGAACATCTGCCTAGCACACACGAGGTCCTGGGCCTCAGCCCTCATGCTGCGTGACATTCAGCTTGTTGGTGCACTTGGGAGGTGAAGGCAGGGTGACCGAGTTCAAGGCCTTCCTCGGCCACGTTGTGAATTTGGAGCCAGCCGGCTTCCAGAAAATCAAAACCACAACAACAAAAAGTAGAAAAGGCTTGGGTTAGTGTGAGTTTGAGTGGGGTCATAAAGCATATTTACTGATAAACTCCAGCCGGCTTCCTGGGCAGTGAGATGGCTCAGCGGGTAAAGGCTCTTGTACGAATCCCAGTGACGTAGGCTTGGTACCAGGACCCACATGGCTGTGCTCTGTGACCTTGGTGGTGTCACTGGTCTCTGGGTGTGATCTCTGATCTCTCCCAGCATAGACAAAGCCAGAGGCCCTGCTGGCTCACTGGTTCGCTGGCTCCCTGGCCCCACCCTAAGCTCCAAACTGTCTTGCTTTCATAAGCAGTTTCTCCTGAGCTTCCTAATCCCACTCTTCAGCAACCCTGGACCAGCTGTCTTTTAGCAATGACCTTGGGAAGCATTGGCCCAGTGTGCAGGAGCAGAAAAGAAAAAGCATTTAAGAATGTTACAGTGATTTAGAACTTGTTTGTTTTCTGAGCACAGTGGAAAGCTTTTTTTTTTTAATAACAATTTTTTATTCCACGGAGTTTGTAGAAATTTGCTTTGTATTTGGATAAGGCCCTAAGAACAAGCATTTCCCAGTACAGTGCTGGGCAAACTAGATTTCAAACCTGGTGCTGAGGCCTTTAGATGAAGAGCACTGTTCTCCATGGTGAAATTTTGTTTCTCGACAACATTCATTTAAGTGGCTCTCACCAGCTTAGGAAGGCCACGCCCAGGCATGTCACAGAATGCACGCACCAACCCGGCTATGGTGGGAGAAGCCAACACTAGCTTTTTGTAAATAGATACCGCAGTTCCCCAAAGCCACATGTTCCTGAGATAGGGCTGGTCTTCTGTAATGAAAAGCTAGTGTCTTGAATGCTAAATGCTCTCCAATGAAAAGCAAGTACCTTTGAGATCTGGCTCAAGTGGGCTGCAGGAGTCTGGGAATCTGGGTTCTGACCCCAGCATCCCCATGTGGGAGTGGGGCTCGTGCCTATAATCCCAGCGTCTGGGATGCAAAGACAGGAAACCCTGGAGCTTGCTGGCTAGCCGACCCACCAAACCACCGAGCTCAGGTTCAGCGCGAGACTTTGTCTCCACAACAGTAAAAATGATGTGGTGAGCAACTGAATAAAGCACCGGACGTCAGCCTCTGGCAAACATACACACCAATGTCCTACACAAAAATGTACACACATCTACACACAAATATGCTTAAAAAAGTGGAATCAATCAGAGCCTCCAGGTATATGGGGCAGCTCAGGAAGAATGCTGAAATGGGTCGATCTGTGACCATTGCAGATAAGACCTCCCAGCTTTCTCTCCATCTCTAGGCTGCAGGAGAAACGCAGCCAACTGGACTCTGAGGAAGGGGGTCATTCCAAACTGCCTCCTCCTCTCAGCTTTCCTCTCAGGGATGGATGCGAAGGCGGCAGAGACTCTGCTGGTGCCCAGGACATGCCCTGCTACCCTCGTCCTCCCACTGCCACCATCACCCCTTAGGCTCCTCTAACCGGAAATGAAGGAAACAGTGTGTGCCAGCATTCTGGAGACATCACTCTGTTTCCTGCATGGAGTTTGTAACCCAGGGAGTCAGAGGATTGCTCACTCTTTGCAGACATAAAACCTGAAGTTATGACAAAGAGTTGGCTGTTGCCAAGAGGAAGAAAACTCCAGAGAGTTTCAAGATTAGTGGGAGAGCTGTATGTGGCCCCACCCGTTAAGATAAAGCTTTGGGCTGGGTTTGCTTTTGATGAGATTAGGCTGCATGGGTATTTTCACCAGTCCCTGTGGGCCAGTGATCATGGGGTCAGCCAGACTGTGAGCGGGCTGATAACATCTCCCATACACAGGAGCATAAATCTTGCTTTCTGATACTGTCCAGCACTGGTGGGAATGGGTGGCTCTCTCTAAGTAATTGTCTGTGCCTCCAGTGTCCCTTCTGTGAGGTTCACCAAGACATGGAGCTGCTAAAATGGCCTGGGCATGGGGGAGGGGAGGGCACATTAAAATTCAAAGGGATTCTGAGAAAGTGAGATTTAAAAATTTAACTACAAATGGACTTTTAAAATGTTTAGATGTTTATTTCCATCTTTTCTTATTTAGCATTCCTCCTCCTCACTCTCCTCTCTCTTCTCTTCACTTCCCCCTCCTTCTCCTTTCTTAATCCCCTCCCTCTTCCCCTTCCCCTCTTTCCTCCCCCTTTCTCCTCCTTCTCTATCTTCCTTGGCTTCCCCCATGCTCACACTCACAGAACTGGTGTGGCTTAGGGAAAATCACTCGTCTGTCTAAAGTTGTCACCAGCAACCTAAGTGAGTTTTTCACTCATACCAACTTTCACACCCAATGCTGAGCACATTTTCCTGGTGAGTCCTGTGATGGTGAGGAGCTAGTGCCCCTGACACCAGTGCGACAGGAGCGTGCCCAAAGAAGGCGAGCAGCAAAGCAGGGATTTGACGGCTGCCTTACTGCCCCCTGAGGCCAGCAGTGGTTCTGAGTCCCAGGTCAGGCACAAAGCCACCTGCTTTCCAAGAGTGGTTCTGTCAAAGCGGAACAGAAGAAACTCCCGCTCCCTCCTGGGTGTACCACATGGTGGCACCACTGTGTCTTTAAGACTGGTGGATTGTCACACCTAGGCTCAGTAGGGATGGGCTGGGGCAGAGGACTGAGGCTCTGGAATGCCAAGTCCCTCAGGATGTCCACTGAAGACACTGAAAACTAGCTTGGTTTTCCCATTAGAAAGGCTGCATGCAGCTTTTAGGAGGCTGATGAGAGTCAGGAGGAATAAGGCCCCAGTGGATACTGAGGCACAGATTTCATGTACGAGGCCATCAGGCGGTACCCAGAGCCACAAAGCTGCCGGCTTTCTCCCATGATTTGCCCATTTGACTTTCTCCCATGATTTGCCCATTTCCTTACTTGAGTTTTCAGCTGGTATCGGCCCGTCAACCCTTACAGGGCGTTGGTGAGGTGGGTGTCCTTCTGTCAGCGGCACAGCAGATCCTTAGACATCCTACCCTCTTCCCACAGAAATGGCTCCGCCCCTGCCCAGGTCACCTGGCTGACCACAGGACCCCAGACAGATGGGGAAAGCTAGCAAGAGCTCTGCCTGCTTCTAGGGAGCCACTTCTGGGCCATACACTAGAGAGGAGAGGGCCTGCTTTGTGCCAGCACCTGGCCTGGGACAGCCTTCCTTGCCCTCTTCCGCTTTCTGTCACCTGAAGCAGTGCACAAAGAGACGCTGGCTGGGACCCCAGTGGGGCTATGTGGAGCGGGCTGAGCCCTCCACAGCTGCTCAGTAGCAGCATGCTGTGGCACGGACCCTGCTCAGCTGCGCTATTGCAGCTGCCTTTCTCTCGAGGACGTGCCCGCCAGAACTCTCAGCCTTCCACCCGGATCACACGTATGTGACCTTGACTTTGGTGAGCTGGTGCACTCGACCAGGACTCTAGGTTGACAGCACAGAAAGACAGGAAGGCGGGGGAGCATTTCGGGGGAGAGGTGCTGGCCGAGGCTGTTTCTCTGCTCTCTGGGGGCAGCAGCGGCCAGTGTTCAAATGATGCGGTTACAGCCCTGGGTCCTCGCAGCTGCCGTGTGGGTTTAAGATGTGTGTGTATGTATATGTGTGTGTGTGTATGTATGTGTATGTATGTACATGTGTGACAGGTATCTGCAAGTGCTCACAGAGGGCAGAAAAGGGCATCAGATTCCCTGAGTGGGTGCTGAGGACTGAAATCAAATTTTTTAGGAAGAGTGCCAAGTGCTCTAACCACTGAGCCATCTCTCCAGCCCGTGCCATGTGATTTTAGAGGTTGAATTTTCCCAGAAGCCACAAGCCCTCCCACGCTGCTCAGAAAATCTTCAGCCCTGGATTTGTTTTTCGACAAAGCCTTCTCCTCTTATGCTAACATGGGCTGACTTCTGTAGCTTGACCTAAGACCTCCTGTTAGCAAATGCTTCTCTTTCGGGGGGGCCCCAGGGTTTGGGTGGGGTGGGGGTGGGGGAGACAGAAGGCTCTCTGTCCTGTGACCCCAGGTTGGTGGTTTTCCTCCCGAGTGGATTTCTTTCTTCCTAAGAAAGTATAGCCCAGTGTGTGCTTCCCTGGAGTGTGTTAGTTCTGAGTTTGATCTGTGGTATGAGAGAGGGTGGGAGGAAAGGAGGAAGGGAAGGAGGGAGGGAGAGAAGAAGAGAGGGAGGGAGGAAAGGAGGGGGAGCGGAGAAGGAAGAGGGAGAGAGGGAAGGAGGGGGAGGGAAGGAGGAGAGAAAGAGGGAGGAAAGAAGGAAGAGAAAAGAGAGGGAAGGAGGGGGAGGGAAAGAGGAGGGAGGGAAGAAGGAAGAGAGGACAGGAGGAAGGGACAGGGGCCTGAGGGGGAGGGAGTAAGCTGTGAATGTGCAAACAGTACCTGTTCCTGTACTGGCTTCCTCAGTAGATTTCCAGAGACAGTGAGAGACTTCATCTCTCTGCTCTCTGTGATTGCCCCAGGCAGTGCCACAGTAAATTAAATTTGGCCAAAATAAAACCTGCTCTTTCAGAAAACAGGGAATTCAGAAGAAAGGTAGAATGGGGAAAGAGAAATCCAGAACACCAGCCAAGGAGACAGCCGGCCCTCTGTGGGAACAGTGTAATATATGCTGCAAAGAGAAACAAACCCCACAACAGCCCCTTGGGTCAACTGAGTTTTTGCCCAGAACTTGAATTTCGTTAAGCCATAGGGCTTTTAAGCCTCTATATTTAAAACCATGATCTAACTAGGTCAGAGAAAATGTACTGTAGGAGAAGGTGTGGGATCCGGGCAAGCTAGCTGCCATTTTCTGCTCAAGACATTGCTGCTGCGCTGATTTTACAGTCAAGTGACATTCCCACTGTGGCTGATAGAGGAAGACAAAGCAACGAACCTGAGCAAATTCCCAGAAGCCACTGCCATCTCCTCCTCCTCCTCTTCTTCCTCTTCCATCTCCTTCTCCTCCTCTTTCATCTCCTCCTCTTCCTCCTCCTCCATCTCCTTCTTATTCTCTTCCATCTCCTCCTCTACTTCCTCCATCCCCTTCTCCTCCTCCTCTTCCTTCTCTACCTCCTCTATCTCCTCCTCCATCTCCTCCTCTACCTCCTCCATCTCCTTCTTCTCCTCCTCCACCTCCTCCTCTTCCTCCTCTAGCTCCTCCATCCCCTTCTCCTCCATCTCCTTCTTCTTTTCCTCCACCTCCTCCTCTTCCTTCTCTACCTCCTCCATCTCCTTCTCCTTTTACTCCATCTTCTCCTATTCCTTCATCCCCTTCTCCTCCTCCATCTCCTCCCTCTCTTCCTCTTCTTCTTTCTGTTTTTGTTTTTTTCTGGAGAGGTTTCTCTGTGCAACCCTGGCTGTCTTAACACTCTCTGTAGACCAGGCTGGCCTTGAACTCACAAGAGACCCTCCTGCCTCTGCCTCTTGAGTACTGGGATTAACCGCACACACCACCACAGCCCAACAGGAACCCCTTCTATACTTCACCCTGCAAGGTTTCAGAAACTCAAATGTTGTGGGGACGTTGGTCCCCAGCAAACCTGTCACCATCTCACAGGGAAGGGTGGTCTGCCTGTCTTCTACTCCCTGACTCCAAGCTGTCACTGGACGTGTCTCTGTGTTAATTATCTTCTCGATGCTGCGGGAAAAGAACTCGGCTAATGCCACTTAAGAGAGGAAGACTCTCGGTTTAAGGGGACGTGGTTCCCGTGGTATGGAAAGCGCCCTGGCAGGTGTGGCTCTGCACCTTGGAGTTGAGAGTGCTCCCACCCGGGTAGGTCAGATGGCAGCACTATTTCTCCAGCTGACAGGGGCGTGCTTATGTCAGAGTGCCTGCTGGAAAGTAGAGCCAGCCTTAATTTCCACCGAGCAGAACAGCCCGGGGTCCTTTGTTCATGGCTTGTTGTCTAAAAGATTCATTTTACTTTTGTTTCTGTGTATGTGTGTGCATTTGCACATGAGAGTCTAGGTGCCCACAGAGGCCAAATAACACCAGACCCTCTGTAACTAGAGTTGGTGGCTGGGAGCCTCCCCGGCTGAGCCTCCCCAACTCCTGTCCTCCTCGAGAGTCCTCATGCTTCGGTGACTGGTTCCCTCCCTGATGGCAGCTTCTGAGCAATGTCCTGCATGGTCCCACCTCATCCCAGCACCGCTCTGCACGACTCAGCCCACATCCCAGCACCCTGTATATGAGGGGCCCTACCTCGGAACTCCAGGCCTCGAAGCTGAAAGGTGACAAGACCGTTGCCAATTTCGATCAGATGGACGAAGGCGTTGAGGTCATCTGAAGCCAAGATGAAGCAGTCTCCAGAGCTGTAATTCCCCCAGCGGCCCAGCACCAGGTCCCCGCAGAGCGACTCCTGCAGCGCCCGGGTCAGGTGCTCATAGAAGATGGAGTTGAGGTTGTTGTCGTCGCTCCCTGAGGACACAAACCAGAGGTCAGCCATCTTAGCTCAGACCTGGAACAGCCAGCGCACGCCCTCTGGGGAAGGGCGAGCTCTGTGGATTCCCCCGGTCTCTGGGTTCTCCCCGCTGGGTTATCCCGAGACCTTCTCGTCTCCCCTCTAGACCCTGTGGCAACCCTCAAACACGTACATTACTGTCTATGTGCAAATTACTTACACAACCCTGTGTTGAGTGCCACGCTCTGACCTTACGGGTAGGCAGAGCCTGCTGTGCAAGTGTGGCAAACTGTGCTCGTCCTCCTGGACCATAGTAACAAGTACCTTGAAACCAGAGAGAGCTGATTCCGGGGGCTCACTGGCCAGACACCCTACCTCACTGAGTTAGTTCCAAGCCAGTGAAAGACCCTGATTCAAAACAATGTAGATGGATCCTGAGGAACAACACCTGCCTTCAGGCGAACACACGTGTGTACACACCCACAGACATACATGCTTGAATGAGCTTGCGCACACAAACACGTCGTGGGAGTTTTGGTGTCTTTAACTAAGTCAGTTGTGTGGATATGTTTCTGTTTGACCCCAGGTGTGGATCTTCCGCTGCTCTAGACCGTCCACGGCACAGACTGTTAGCCTCCAGTGGGCTGTGACGGGGCTGTCATGCCAGCTGTGACAGGGGTGTGGCCTCTGCCAGCTGCAGTACTTTAATTCTAAGGACTTTGAGAGGGAATACAGGACAGAGCCCAGAGAGAGGCCTGGGGGAGAGGGGGGGGTTGGAAGGTTCTTAGGAAAAGGAAAGCAGCAGCTGCCCTTCCCCGTGGCTCCTGGCTTCGGCTGCTGCAGTTTGATGAGAAGAAGTTGGAGATAGCCCAACGTGGAAACTGGATTTGCCCCAAAAAGTCTGACCAGTAGTCTAAGAGACCTATGACCCTTTTCCCACTAACTTTCTCTCTCTCCTGCCTGGTGTTGGAAGGATTGGGGTGAAGAAAGAAGGTAGAGGTATAAGGACCCCAATAAAATAGATTAAAAAGTAACACCGCCCCCCGCCCCGAACTCTGGGCCTGTACTTTCTCCTTTCTCAACTGCTCCTCAGCTCCCTGTATAAGAAGGACTTTGCTGTCTCCATATGCACAGTCATGAGTAAAACCACTGTTAAGCAAAACCAGCTTCACACCCTTCCAGTGAATGCATGGGCCCTGCCCAGCACCCTACCGCCTCAGTCCATCCGTGTCTCCCTAGCATGGACTGAGGGTGTTGTGTCTACCTCCCTCCCCAGGCTCTTTTCTGCCAGTGGCTGCTCGCTGGCCAGCACCCAGCACTGAGCTGGGGGACGGTGGGAGCCAGAGAGGGAGAAGGAGGTGGCCAGGGAGGCCAGGCCGCATGTAGAGGGCCGAGGGCTGTGCTCATAGCTGTGTTCCCCTTGCCAGGCTCGGACTGTGGCTCCCTCTGTGGGCTGCCTGAAGGTGAGGCTACAAGCTTCCCAGTGGCAGACTGGACAAGCCGGGAAGTCCTTTCTAAAGCACTCAGGTAGGTCAGAGAAGGCCTGGGAAGGCCAAAGAGAAACATAAGAACCTGATCCTGGGAGCAGGGAACCCAGGAAAGCTAGGCAGGAGTGGAGTCAAGGACTAGAGGCAAAACTCTGGCTTCTGTGGTTGTCTTCAGAGAGGAGACCAGGTCTCTAAGGTTGACCACCAAGGCTGTGGTGGGGCAGGAGCTCCTCCGTCCACCCGTGGGGAACAGAGCATGCATGGGGCTGGCAGGGCTGGCCTCCCGGAGGAGGTGTCCCGGGAAGAGGACCAGGCTGTTGCTAAGGAACTGTGGGGTGGCTATCAGGCACTGAGCCCCTGACCCAGTGCTGGAGCTATTGGGAAGCTACTGTGAGAAGCCGAGACATCGGTGAGCTGTTTACACGGACAGAGGGAACTTCAGACACGGCGGCAGCATGTGCTCTTCCATGTGCAAGCCTGACGGCCTGCTCTTCCACCCACTGTCATGGTGAAGCAGCTCTGACACTCACTGCCATGGTGAACCTGCAGCCACCAAAGGTGCCAGTCAACGGCCACCTTCAGTTCCCTGCGCTTCCACAGGAGACCCGGGTGAGAGCCGGCCCTCCCTTAGTGCACGCTGCACCACACGCGAGCACACTGACTAAAGCAGACATTGGCTCGGAGCACCTTCTCCGTCCACCCTGGCTGCACATCTGCCTCATCGGGGAAATGAGAGCGTTGTGGGTGGCTGGGCGCGGGTCTGCCGCTGTGCCTGACACAGTGGGCCTGCTGTGTCGCCGGGTCCCACGGCAGCATGCCGGGGCAGTCCCCCCTCCTCTCCGTTGCCTACCCCCTCACCCGAAGCCCCGTAAATGAGAAGCCTGTGCTTCCACACTTTACACTGTGACTATGCTAATTGTCTGTGCAGTCTGCTGTAGACGGTCCCGATAGAGACCGTCGCTCTCGGACCGTGACTCTTCAGATGGAGAGCGGGATGCATTCAGCAGGCTTTCTGGGTTCTGTCTGATCGTTCCCAGGGCTGGTGTCCTGTGGTGCTATGCTAGGGTGATGCTGGTGGTGGCGACCAGCTTCACACCAGCCCTGAGAGCACAGGCCCTGGGAGGCAGTGGTGATAGTCTGGGCTTGTGCTCCAAAGCGGGGCAGAAGGTGGGTTAGAGGAACCGCATGCATTTTCCATGTATGGCACTTCCCAGTGACATGGCACCCTGGGAGCGTCCTCATGGATAGCTGGCATGGACACAGGACGCTGTTCTTCCCAGAGACAAGGAGAGTAAGGCCTACACAGATGACCACCTTAAACAAAATTACACTTCAAATCCACGTTCTGGTAAGAGGAAGGAAGACAAAATGGCTAAAAATGGAATCAACTGCTGAAAGAAAAGAGTGAAGGGCTTTTCTGCCAGGTGAGTCCGCAGCCTAGTGACCACCAAGCCTCCCGCTCAGCTCCCAGTGCTCAAGGGTTTACTCAAACACAGGCTGACACAGTGCCAAGGCACGGCACGGCCATGCTCAGGGCTGGTCTCAGTTTCTGGCCTGTGTGTGACTGTTCCCGGCTCAAAGGACGTCCTCCCGAGAGGCCAGCTCTCAGGGTAAAAGTCTGCTGATGTCCACCACACACTAACAATGTAACAGGCTTCCTGGGTGACTGACACAGTCGCTAACCAATCCCAGATGAAGAAAGTGCATTTCTAAGGGAACCGTGGGGATGGGGATGGATGCGCCTTCTCGCGCAGCTCTGCCCTGCAGTCCGAGAGTGTCTACTGGGACACGCCCTGCCTCTGCCCTGAGCACGCCGAACGCCGCCTTGGTACTTGTCCGACCAACAAAAGAAGCACAGAGTTCAAAGAGAGCACGGAAAGCGCTTACCTGGGTCTCTCTCCATTTGCACGGCCAGTCTTGTGTTGGAATTATCCACGCGCCTCGTCCTAGAGGGCCACAGAAAGGTGAAAGGTCACGGTTAGATCCCTGCCACTAGGGAGCTGGTGTACAGAACAAGTGTGAGCAGGGGGTGTGCGGGTGAATACAGGCCCCCCCCCCCCGCCAATCTGGCCGAGCGAGAGGAACCGTCACCTCTGGGCAGCACGGGGCTCAGGGAAGGGCCTAGGTGCACGCCGTGACATCACGTGGAGGTCAGAGGACAGTGTGCAGGAGTTAGTGCTCTCCTCCGACCACGTGGGCACTAGGATTGGGCGCCAAGCGTGGCAGGCACCCCCTGAGAACCTGCCAGCCCCATTACCGGGATCTGAGGGCAAGGTTCATACTAAGTGTCTTTCCTTCCAGCTGGCTCTGGGCAGTGGCCGTGGGCAGCCACGTCCACCCCGGGCTGTGCACACTGGGGCACACTCCCGGCCCTTCCTGTGGTTGAGAAGGACTCTGACAGTCTTAGGAAGGCAGCTTCCTGCTTCCGGCTCTCAGCATCGGGCGCTCAGCCTCATTGTTCGCTCTGGGCTCTGGAGCGTCAGCAAGTCTCTCTGAGCAGCTTGTGCACAGATCCGTGGTTCTCAGCCTTCCTAACACCATGACAGTCCCTCATGCTGTGGTGCCCCCAACCATAAAATTATTTTCTTGCCCCTTCCTAACTGTATTTTTGCTCAGTTATGACTCCCGATGTGAATGTCTGCCATGCAGGGCATCTGCGACCCACAGGCTGAGGGCGGCTGGCACAGATGCTCAGCAGACGGCAGTCTGGGCTGCTGGTCCTCAGGCGCTCCTCCTTCTGTGTGACACAGGGCCTCTCACTAGCCAGCAGCTTCACCACACAGGCCAGGCACCTGCCTGTTAGCTTTCGAGACTCCGCTGTCTCTGCTTCCTGCTGTTGGGGTCACAGGCTCACGCCGCTGCCCTTTCTGTCTGGGTTCTAGAAATCTGTGCTCAGAACCCCAGCCTCCAGGGTGCTTTCCTGGCTGTGCCATCTCCAGGCCCATCCAGGAGCCTCTGGTGCTGCACACTTGACCTAGCCTTTCACAATTGTTGACATATCAGTGTAACTTAACTGAAAATCTGAGCATCTGTTGGGAAGTTTCATCCCAACACAGACCTCTTGGTTGAAGCTACCTCCTGGGGATTGGAACTAATAATGAGAATACTGGGGTGGGATTATATTTAGATCAATGAAATGGCTTGTCTTCAAAAGAAAAAAATCAAAAGCACTGTTTGCTTCCTTGTCTGCCTCAGACACTTGCCAACCATCTACGCAGGGTCCAGTGTGAAGCTGGTGGAAGATCCCACGGGAGGACAGAAAAAGGCTCGTGGCCCTCAAAGGCCATGCTGCTCCATCCTGCCTCAGTTTCCTCCTGAACAGCCTCACAGCAGCAATCAAAACAGCAGAGCCCAGGGCAGCAGAAAACCAAGCAAACAACAGACTCCTCCGTAATGAAGGTTGAAATCCCATGTCTGGGTACTTGGTCCCTAAACGGAATTTTAATTTCACCTTAAGACCTAGGACAAATGGAATTTCCAGCTTTGGAATAAACAATTTTTAAAGTGGGCCTGAGCCAGAAGGAAGTCAATTATCCAGCTCCTGAGGGAACGCAGACTCTTTGTGAAGCTCTGTCCACTGGCAACATTATCTTTGCAGAGGTGACAGCCTTCTAGGAACACAGAGCAGCAAGTCCTGAGCAATGGCTCAGCCAGTGCCTCTACTCCCAGCCGGGCATCTCCATTTCCCGGAGGCTAGCTTCTGGTGCCCTAGCAGCCTGAGCTCTCCTCCAGTGAGGTCGGCCTGGAAACCGGGGCTTGCCACTCACAGGTGCTAATTAGCTCTGTAATTGGATTTCTGCCCTAACTGTCCCGTCGAACGAATCACGTCCCATCTCCTGCTTCCACCTCACCCTTCCCCATCTCGGGGATGCAGGAAATCACTTGAGCATGTACACATGGGTGAGATTTTTTTTCCAAAAGTTGTCTGACAGAGTTACGGCGTCCCGTGGACAAGGTCAGGGCCCTCCACAGGCCTCTGAGGTCTCTGCAGACGGGCTGCTGACCTGCCGCACCTCCTCCCGTGTTAGTGTGGCGTGCAGAGCTGCCTCCTCCCCGCCTGTCCGGTGCCACCCGGACAGCACCTCCGCCACCCCCTGCTCTGGCACACAGGCTTAAGCAGATTTGCGGTAACTTCCTTTGCTGGCGCTGTTTTGTGTTCCCTTTCCCAGCACACACTGGCTACTCAACGGACACACTTCATGCTTTAAGCTGCAAATGGCCCTGGCTGGGATGTGACAGCTGGCGTTGTCCCCGCGGTTTGGAAGGACTGTGTCTTCTATCCCGGCAGGGCCGAAGCGTTGCTGATCTCAAAGCCCATGGTCGGGTTCCAGCCATCCTTCACCTTCTATCCACTTCATTTGTCTCCAGGGTATTTTTTAAAGCACTTCCTTCTGCATGCTTGGTTTGGAATTTTTGTTTACTAAACTTCAGTGGGTACAGAGAGAAGGGCTTATCTGTTATGCCGGTTTTCTGTTTTATCCGAGAGCAAACGAGCACATTACAGAAGAGATCCAGGGACTGTTGCTATGGTCTGAGGAAGCAAGATGAACAAGTATGGGCTGGCCAGGTGCCCGGAGACGTGAGTGTGGCCAGAGAGGCTCAGGTGCTTCTGGGAAAAGGGTGTTTGTGTACTGTTCTTCTACTTTTATTGGTATTTAATTTTTACTAACATTGCTACAATCTGTAAACATTCCGTACGTCGATACGCACACACAGAGTTGTGGTCACTCTCTAAGAAGACATCTAAGCATTGTGCAGCTCAGCTACAGAGAAAAAACCTTGATTTTTTTTTTAAGTTTCAACAATATTAGAGGGAAATTTACTTCAGACTTCATCTTTGAGATTCTAAAACAGGCTGTGCTGACCTCTAGCTGCAGGAGCAGAGGGTCGGAGGTTAACACGGAGCTGGCACAGTCCTTCCGCCCAGCCATCCCTCATCTTCCTGGTTTCCCCTACGGTGATTCCTCAGCCATGTGGCAGGGAGCAGAATCGTGGCTGTCCTGAAGACTGCAACACCGAAACCTGAGGTGTGCAGAGCTGCTCCTCAGAGGAGGCTCCCTAACAGCTTACTTTTTCTGCCTAAATAATTTTACTTAAAATGTATTACCCTTGTTTAGTTTGCACGTGTGTGGAGGAAAACTCAGGGCTCTGCTTTCTCCGTCCACCATGCTAGTCCTGGGGCTCACACACAGGTTACCCATGGCCCGAAGGACTTCCCTTAAAATCTGCAAAGAATTCCCTTTCCCCAAACCCCAGAGAGTTTTCTCCCCACGGCCTCCCTGGCTGCAGCACACTGCTCTGATGACCCAGAAATCCGAAGCGCAGCCGTGGTTTTCAGACGCTGCGGCTGTGATGCTCAGTGCCCAGGGGTGAGCAAGGGTGTCTCTGCCTGGTGGCCTTTGCACCACTAGGCCACAGCTCTCCGCTGGCTTCCCGTAACGTGGGACAGGCGGCCAAAGGGGCCCCCGTGGTCACACATAAGGAAGACTGAGTCAGCGCTCCCCAGCCCCAGTCAGGCTTCTGAGCCGCCTAGGAACCATGAGTCTGCTCTTCCGCCTCCCTCCCGGAAGCAGAGCTGCTGAGAGCCCGAGGGCACAGAGAAAGACTGGGGACATGGTCTTCCGAGCTGAGGGCTCACTGGGACTGTGCACTGCGGCCCCTCGCCTTGCTCTCCGCAGCCTGGGATGAACGCTTTAACTGGAAATGGCTGAGTGGTGTGTGTGTGTGTGTGTGTGTGTGTGTGTGTGTGTGTGTGTGTGTGCATGTGTGTGTAAGCATGAGAGTGTGTGCATGTGCTCTCTGTGTGTTCTGTGCTCATGTGTGTGTTCTATGCATGTGTGTTTCTTTGTGCTCTCTCTGAATTTGTGTGCATGTATTTGTATATGTTCTCATATGTACTCTGCCTGAACATGTGTGCTCTATGTGTGTGTATGTTTTCTGTGTGTCTGTTCTCTGCATTTGTGCTGTATTTATGTGTGCATGGTTTATGTGTGTGGTTGTCGTTTTATGTGTTCTAGGTATATTCTCTGTGAGTGTGTGTGAGAAAGAGAGAGAACACGTGTGTCCTGTGAGAGGTTTTGGGACATAACAGAAAGCTCGCAGGGGCCAGAAGGACGGCTTTGGGTTAGTGTCCCGGCTGGGCTGTTCACTGGCCCAGGACCTTATGTGAACTGTGCACCAGGGTCTTCCTGGTCTGCTTGTCAAGGAGGAAGATGAGGCCACACAGAGGGCTGTGGAGGCTGAAATGACTGTTAGGCCTGACAGGGGGGTCGGCAGGCGGAAAGCTGCCGCTTTGGACTCCTGCCTTCCCTGCAGCTGCTGTCAGCACTGACTAATCCAGGGCTGCCCGCCTGAGTCCCCAGGGCTGTCACGGCTATGGACACCACGTCACACAGCGTCAGGCAGCAGTGACAGTCAAGCCAGAAGCTGCTGTCATCTGTCTGGGCACCCCGTGGACAGACTTTCCCAAACCGGAGTAGTGAGACCACAGGCTGGGGTGTCCCAGCCCCTCCCTGTGTCCTCCTCAGAGGACACAAGTGCACCGTATGACCCCAAAGCTGCCCACCTTGAGCTTCAGAAAAGGAGCCAGGTACGTGTGCACACAAGAGTGAGACTCCGGGGTCTGGGCAGGAGGGTTATGTTAGAACCCAGCCTGAGCTAAGACACTATCCCAAAAACAAACAGAGAAGAAGAGAGGGAGGGAGGGAAGAAGGGGGAAGAAAGATGGATGGAGGAAGGAAGGGAGGGAGAAAGAAGGGGAAAGGGGAGGAAAAAAGAAGGAAGGAATGAAGGAAGAAAGGAAGGAAGGGAGGAACAAAGGAAGGAAGGAAGGACAGAAGGAAAAAAGGGAGGAATAAAGGAAAAAAGAAAGGAAGGAAGGAAGGGAGGAAGGGAGGAAGGGAGGAACAAAGGAAGGAAGGAAGCAGAAAACAAAAGAACAAAGGAAGAAAGGAAAGGTTGAGTTTTGCCTAGCTCGGTTCCCCTTGAGCCCAGTCTTTGGGGAAGTGTGAGCTCGGTCAGGTCACCCTTTCCTCAGCCTCATGTGGGCATGGCTCCTTCAGCAGGGTGGCCATGGTAGGCTGCCTGAGGGTCTCAATAGCCTGGACACACATGGCGCTTACTGTGGGCAGGGTGCCAGCTCTGTTTGTCTGAGATGACGAAACAGGTCGTGCTGTCACTGACTCACCGACAAGAAAGGACAGAGCCACAGCTGCCGGCACTGAGGGTTGGAGCCCAGGGCTCCGTGTTTTCATGATGCCCACTTCCTGTGCGGGGCACAGGCTTGGCTCAGTAAGAGCCTCACAGCAGAAACCAGAAGCTGGTCTCCACCTTCAGGCTGACCTCTCTCAGAGGCCACTGAACCAAGCACCAGCACAGCATATGTGAACCAGGCCTCCGCCCAGGTGAGGACGGCCCTGCTCACACCTCCTAATTCACCAGCAGGTCTTTGAAAGCAGGCCTCGAGGGCTGGGGACAGCAGCGTGCCAGCCGAGCACACATGAAACCCTGGCTCTGCCTGTGATCCCAGCGCCAGAGAGGCAGAGACAGGCGGATGGCCAGAAAGCCAAGGTCATCCTTAGCTGTGAGGGTTTTGAGCCCAGACCAGGGGTCCATTAGACGCAGTCTCCGAAAGAAAGGAATTGCTCCTCAGCCGGCCACTGCGCCCGTGTTTGCCCTTGCTGATGCGCAGTAGAGTGAACTTAGCACACTCTGTCCCTATTGTCAACAACAACAGCAAATGCCCCGTTCTGCCATGCTTCCCGGGAGCAATGAGTGGCTGGTTCAGACGCTGAGGGGAAGGAGAACCCCAGACCACGCTCTCTTGCCTGTTGTGCCCTGCAGGCTCAGCGGTGTCGTGTATGTGTGCAGAGCTGTGATGGTGGGCCTGGCACACACACCCCAGAGCCGAATCTCTGACGCTACAAAGACAAACGCTGTGCCCCCCTCCCCCCGCCCCAGCAGGCAATCCCAGCACACCAACGCCACAGGCCATGGCTTCCTGTTGCCTCTCTTGGGCATCAGCTGAGAGCCAGCTGCCGAATTCCAGATCAACAGCAGAGCCCCAAGTCACTGTGCCCCTCATCACTGAGTCGCGCTACACACGCAGAGGTCACCGCTGCCACTGAACCAAGAGTAAGTCAGTGTACACGTGTTACACGAGCAGGAGGTCACTGACTCACTCTACACGGTAGCTGACTGATTCCCCACTAGCGGCAGGTCCCAGGCTCACGCTGTGGACACTGTAGAGAGGGTGTGGGGTCATCTGGAGCAGGGTGCTCGGCCGGCCCGTCGGTCCTTACTTGTAGTTCCTCTCCCAGAACTTCACAGGCCGGGCGTAGGACGTGATGAAGATGACGCTGCCCAGGAAGGGGCTCAGGGGCGTGGAGAAGATGGAGGTGGCGAGGGTCTGGAAGAAGAGCATGGCAGAGTCTGTGAGGACGCTGTTAAGGCCGAGATAGCTGTCACCTCGAGTGTCACCTCTCTCCCCAGTCCTGTGTCACAGAACTGTGGTCCTTGCCCCGGTGCAGCAGGAGTTAAAGCTATCCTCACCTACAGCAGGATCCAAGGCCAGCCTGGGCTACAAGGAGGCCATCAATCAAGACACCAACGCTCACCTCTGGCTTTCACACGTATGCACACAGCCACACACGGGCACACACACACTGAATGAAAATGAAGAGCTGGGAGCTCCAGGGGGGAGGGAGGAGGAAGGGAATGGATGAAGGCTGGGGCAGTGAAGGGAGGCGTCCCTCCGAGCTGTCACTACTGGCAACAATGCACATCCCGGAGAGTGGTCACCCACACGCTCCTGTCTCACTGGCCCTGACTGCGGCGTGAGGGGTGGACGCCTGGAGTTCTTGCCCTGGCTGCCCCTCGTGACCATTCCCTGAAGCGCGGGACGTGAGCCAAGGAAACCCTGTCCTCCTGGAGCTGCTTTTGGTTTGAGTGTTTGTCACGGTGACTGACACAAGCACAACTAGGCCGCCGTGTCAGAGTCCACCCTGCGTCTGACCTCGAGGCTGTGCTCGGCCCAGGAATCCGTGCTCATACCTGAGCCTTGTAACTGGAAACACAGGCACACAGTGTAAAACCATCGGGGCACGCATCAGGCCGACATCAAGAGCTGTGTGCAGTCCCTCTCCTTAAGTGTGTCCTGGTGTCTGCTCGCTCTCTTTCTTGTTTCAGGACACAGTCTGGCTTGGGCCTGCCTGGCCTGGACCTGTGTGGGTCTGAGCTTCTCATCTCTTTCTGCCCGTTCCTCCTGAACACTAGGATTGCAAGTGTGCATCACGGCGAATAGATTTCCTTAACCAATCTATTATTTCTCTACATTTGGGCATAAAAATCTAGTGATCCCTGTCATGTGCTTGTTAGAAATGGCATCTCCAACTTGGCTTGAATGGAATTAAATTGAATTAAAGCCAATTACCATTTTATGTGGAAACACATAAAAATGTACAGACACCAGGTCTGTCCAGCGGATACAGATGAGACTGTGATTTGCTTTTCAGTCTCCAGAAGTGTTTAGGAGTAATTCCACTTGTATCTAATTCTACATATTTTAGTATTGGTAAAGCAGATTAATAACTATATTACAATATAATAAAAGCACATTGTCCATCCCAACCCCACCCAGAACATTTAAGGGTGAATAGATTGTACAAGCGTGCATAAGTCAACCCAAAGATTTAATCAGTTGTTTCCCATTGAAAAGGCCAAACACTTGGCTGTGCACCTGGAGTTGGGAAAGGGAAGGCTCAGAAAAAGTAAAAGTTGGGCTAATTCATGCCCCCAAGTTGGACGATCCTGCTCCTGGGACCCACACGCTGGAGGGGAAAGCCAGTTTCTGCAGACTGTCCTTTGACCTTCACCCTGACACCACCACCCATGGCTTCCGCCGAACAAATAAAATGTGGAAGTGAGGAAGGGAGGAAGGAAGGGAGGGAGGAGGTGAGGGAGGAAGGATTGAGGGAGGGAGGAAAAGAGAAAGGGAAACAACCACTGTGCACTGAGAATAGCAGAGCCCAGAGGAGCACACACTGAGCTCCGAGGCCTCCGGGGACCAAGCTCCTGGCACACTCATTAAGACTCTGTCACTGTGGCGTCAGCCGGGGTCAGCATAGGCTCCCCCCGTGACACTCGACCTCAGGCTGACAGGTGAGGGCACTCGGAAAGGATACGAGGGATGGCGAAGAGCTGGGCGAAGACGTGGAAGGAGGACCCCCAGGCCATCTGCCACGGGGCCACGTAGGCCAGCACGAACTGCAGCTTGTAAAGCAGGTCCTCCAGCTGAAAGCAAGAGAGAGGTCAGCGATACACCCGAGTGTCCCGTGGAGGTCATTGCACGGAGCTGGGTGCTCTGTCTGTCTCAGAGCAGGAACCACGCACGGCCCTGCCTGCTGTCCCTCACAGTGGACAGGCATGCACACCGCAGTGCTGGGAGCTTCTCAGCTTTGAGTGGGTGTGTGCGCATGTGAACACGTGTATGCACGCATGGGAAGAACAGAAGTCAGCCTCCGTGTCTTTCCTCTGCCTCAGTCCACTTTATTTATTTACTTACACGTGTGTGTGTGTGTGTGTGTGTGGTGTGTGTGTGTGTGTGTGTGTGTGTGAGTGTCAGAAGACCCTGCTCCCACCCCCACCCAGAGCTGTAATCTCAGGTGCGTGCACCACGACGGGCTTGCACATAGGTTCCGGGAATCTGAACCTGGATATTCTTGAAGTCTATCCATGCACACGCATGGAGAACAAGGAGAAGCCGTCTGGAGATGACTTTGAACTCGGACTGTTCCTCCACCACAAGCTGCACCCTCGTGGCTCCGCAGCGATCACTCACACGGTCTGAAACCGCCTCACATTAATTTAAATTTTCTGGCTGGCAAAAGCACCGTGTTGAGCCGATGTCTCCAAAGTTCCGTGTTTAATGTTACGGTTTTCTCAGGTCATCAGCCTCCTCTCGCACAAGTTACCCAAGACAAAGGGTTTCTGGATGTCCCAGGCCAGTGGGACGGTGTGTGAAGAGACTGACACCCTTGACCTGCTCACAATCAAATATTCCTAGCCACCAAGTGTGCTCCCCACACAGCCTACTGTGACCCCAAATCTGGACGGACCAGACAGACCCAGGGCACTGCAAGGGTTTTCCAACTCTTGGCCTTCCAACTCTTTATTTAGTCAAGGATGACCTTAAACTTCTGTAGTGCTAGGATTACAGCCATGTGCCACCATGCATGACTTTAGTGGTCCTGGAGACCAAATCCAGAGCAGTGTGTGTGTGTGTGTGTGTGTGTGTGTGTGTGTGTGTGTTGGCGAGCGTACATGTGTGTGGTCAAAGGCCAGAGATGAAGGTTAGGGTCTTTCCTCAAGGGTTGCCACCATTATATTGGAAGCTGGGTCTCTCCCAGAGCCAAGAGCTCACTAGTTCAGCTGAGCTCATCAGCAGTGAGAGTCATCTGTCTTCGAATTCCCGTTGCTAAGATTATATCATGTCACATCCAGACCTCCGTGTGGGTTCTGGGGTCTAGACTACGTCCTTACGCTCGTGTGGTATGCGCCTTCTTTCTGGCCCTCAACTGAGTTCATCAAAGTCTGTCTAACAGGTGGAGAGAGCTGAAAGGGCATCGGAAAGGAAGCCACGAGGAAGCCAGGACTGACCTGCCAAGAAGGCGAGATGCTGCCCAGCCTCCGTGGACTGAGTCTCCTGAAACTCTGAGGCCGAGCAAACATCTCCCTGGGCTCGGCTGGCAGAGTGGCTTCCTGAGTCATGGAGCTCTGGGCCCCAGCCCTGACAGTGGACAGCTGTCAGGAGGGGGACTCGGGAAGGTCGTAAGCCGAGGTTGTGCTGGCGAGTTTTTGTCACCTCGACACAGCCTGCACACACCTGGAAAGGCGGTGTCTCCACTGGGGGCTGTCTTCATCAGACAAGCTCTGGAGCAGGTTTTCGGGGATTCTCTTAATTAACAGCTGATGTAGGAGGGTCCTGCTCCCTCAGGGGGGAGACCCAGACTGGGCAGAGTCAGGGGGAGCCTTCTCTGCAGTCCCGGCTGTGTTCCTGCCCTTGGTTTCCTCTGCTGATGTGGTGGTTTGAATAGGTGTGACCCTCATAGTCTCCTCTCGCTCCCTTCAGGTCAAGACGTAGACCTCGGCCCCTCCAGCACCTGGTCTGTCTGCACCCTGCCATGCTTCCCGCCATGAAGATAATGGACTAAATCTCTGAAGCTGCAAGCCAGCCCCACTCAAATGTTTTCTTCTGTAAGCGTTGCCATGGTTTTGGTGAAACCCTAAGACTGACTGTAAAAAGTGAGATGACATGAGCCCTTTCTTCCCACGCTTCTTTAGATCAGTGTTTTTTCACAGTAAAAGAGAAACTAGAATAGAAATTGGTATCAGGAGTGGGGTCTTGCTCTGAAGGACTCCATTATATGGCTTTTAGGTCTTGCACTATGATACAAGAGGAAGGTAGATGATTTTGGAGCTTGAGTCTGGAAAGACATTGGGTACTTAAAGCTTTTGATCTGTTGTGGAAACTTGAAAGGTAATGCTTAGATAAATGCAGACATGGGGCTGGAAAGGGCTCAGAGGTTAAGAGCACTGGCTGCTCTTCCAGCGGTCCTGAGTTCAATTCTCAGCAACCACAACCATCTAGTGAGATCTGGTGCCCTCTTTTGGTGTGCAGGCAAAATACTATATAAATAATAAGTAAATCTTTAAAAAAAAAATGCAGCCAACAAAGGCCTGGCTTGTGAAGTGTCAGAGGGAAGTTGAGGGTCTTCCAACAACTCTGTCAGTGCCATTAATATGATATTTTTAAAAACTCTGGTTTCTGGCCATCTGGGGCTGAAGAAGCAGTTTCAGTTAACAAGAGACCAACACAGTGAAGTAAAACCTTTGCTTGTTAGGGTAATTGATGTCGTTCAGCCAGGTCTGGAGAATCAGCGTGGTTCAGAAGAGAGCAGTTATCACTGAAGTAAAATCTGGGAAGGGTCAGCTAGGGATCAGCACACAGAAGCTGTGGCCACAGGTCCCCTCCATGCGGGGAGCGCCACATTGCCCTGAGTCCTAGCTGCCATTTCTTACCGTCCCGCTGCACACGGTCCTGCCGAGTGCTTGTGGGCGTAGGAGGAGACATGGGGCCGTGGGCTCTGCACAGCTGTGGCCGTCTGTGGCTTAGACTTGCTGTGTTTGGGGTTTTTCCGGTGCTGTGCCTGCCTGTGTGTCTCTCTCGCTCCTGTCAGTAGCCCTACAAGCTCTCAGGCTCCTCAAGCTGGCCGTCAGGGGGCCCTGTCCTGGCCTGTCTGAGCCCTCCTCGCTCTCTGGTGAGGGGCATTTCTCTAACTCCCCCTGGGAAATGCCAGGCAACAGGAGCCACACCCTCCCTACTGTTAAAAAAGAAGGAAACGAGCGAGACCCTTGCCTTGGTGAACACAATGGACACCAGGAAGAAATCCAGGAGGAAACTCTCAGAGACGTCTTTGTAGTCGAAGTGGAAAAAGATGACGGTGAAGCCCAGGTTGGCAAACTGGTGAACGGGGTTGCAGAAGGACGTCCTCAGCAGCTTCATGCCCGCAGTGGTCATCAGGAAGATGTCCCAGCTGTGGAAAAGAGGCTCCGTCAATGACCGAGTGCGAGCAGGCTACACAACCGCTACGGCCCCTGGGCCTAAGTGTGTCCCATGCCTCATGCAGGCCCACAAGGCCACGGTGGAGGTCCCGTACTTCCTCATCTGCAAACAGGGCCTCAGAGGACAGGGTGCTCATCCGAGGGGGAGGGGTGCTTCAAGGGAGATTTCTTGGCACACTTTCTCGCCACCGGAGACATATTCTCTACCTGGTTGGTTTAACTGTCACCCTGGCACACCCCCGTCTCCTGGGAAGAGTCTCAAGGGAGGAAGCACCCGGTTGGCTGTGTCTGTAGCACACAGACTTCACGGTAACTGACGTAGGAGGCCAAGCCCACTGTGGCAGCACCAGGCTGGCGGTGAGCGGCTGTAGATGGACGAGGGCCAGGTATGCCCGGGGACAGCCAGCAGCCGGCCAAACATGCCTGGGAGACAGCCAGCCAGCAGTGTCCCCGACAGCGGTTTCTGCTCCAGGCTCCATGAGAACACAGTCTAAGAATGGAGTCATGTGCAGGCAATTTTGAGTGTTTGTGAGAAAACTCCAAGAAAACCAGACCAGAGTGTCCTGACCTCAGTTTCTCCAAAACTACAGACTGAACTTGTTCTTAGATAATTTTGTGTCTTTTCTGGGTGCAGGGTTGGGGGCGAGCTTACTTCAGCTGTTGTTCCCATGACTCTCTTGAGGCCCTCCTTCTTAGGTCCAGGCTGCCAACTAGATCTGGAAGAAGGCTCCTGTCCTGACCCCTTCCCCCGCCCCCTGACAGACTACAGGCGGTCTGGAAGGTTTCTGCCTCCTCAGCCAGAGGTCTTAGAACAGTTCAGAAGGGCCGTTAGGGCACTACCCGGGCCCTGGGTTCCCTCCGAGGCCGCACAGTGCCGTCGGGCCTGTCTGGGATCAAGGCTGCCGCGTGAGAGCATGCCCCAGGAATCATGCAGACAGCTGCAAAGCCAAAGCATGCCACCCCAGCGGGGTCCACCCCGTGAGCTTCTCGTCCACAGCTAGACTCAGCATCACTTCCAAACATGGAGAGAAACGGGCACTGTTGTCAGGCCGTTTTCACTTCTGCACCTGCCTGTGGGGTTGTGAGTATTTCTCACAACCTGGGAGCAGGGGTCTCCATCTCCTTCAAGGTTCAGCCCTGGCTGCTCTCTCCCTCTCTGTCTCTCCCTGTCTCTCTCCCTCTCTGTTTCTCCCCCTCTCTGTCTCTCTCTCGGTGTGAGCTGAGTGGCCAAGCAAGGCCAGCCGAGGAAGCCCACCCCTGGAGGATGCAGCTCTTCAGCACCTCCTCCCACCCCAACAGCACATTTGGCCAGTGTCTTCCCCTCCAGTCAGAATGGCAGATCTGCAGTTACTGAGCAGCTTCCATTCGTAAATTCAGAACTAACTTCCGTGGGGGAGACTAATGATCCAGACTTTCGGGGCTCACGCTTTGCCAGGACGTGGGCTTCCTGGCAGCGGGGTGGCCCTAGCCCCTCTAGAGTCATCTCCCAATAAATTCGGGAAGTGACCAAAGGATTCTTTCCCCTCCCCAGAGTGTGTGTGATATTTGCTAAACAAAAGGAGACGAAGCCATCTGTGGCACCTGAAGCACAGCGGTGAAGACTTGGGATTCCCGCTTCCCCTGGGCTCCGGTTACGCCAGGCGCCATAGCTGCTCTTCTGCGGGGACCCCAGACCCCACGTTTACCTGCACACACTGTGGGCAGATCAAGCTCCGTTTGCCACCGCATAGCAGCTGTCTGCTCTGAATGGGTCTGAGTGACAAGCGCCCTGGTTCCTTTCCTGCAGCCAGCACATGTGCGTGTAACACACGTGTCTGCAGTGTGTTCACTTGGTTGTGAAGACACCGAGGTGCACATGCGCGTGGGAGTAGACCCGTGCACTTACTGGGTCCCCAGCCTCCTGTAGTTGCTTATGGAGAAGGCGTCCAGGGTGAGGGCGTTCAGGACGATGGCCGGGTACAGGAGGTACTTCTCAAAGCACTGAAGCCACACGTGGAGCCTCTCAAACCACATCAGCTGAGCCACGTCTGGAAGACACACAACCCTCTGAGCCATGTCTGGAAGACACACAACCCGCTGGGGAGGGCCGCACGCCGATGGGTGTGCTGCCAGAGCCAGGCCTCCCAGCAGGCCCAGCGGTGCCATGGGGTCCAGCTCTGGCCTTCTAGCCGTGCTCTCGGGTCCCTTGAGCCACAGTCCTCTGTTCCCATGATGCCCAGTTCACGGCGCCTAACTCGAGGGCCAGCACTGTGTGTTTCCAGGATGGCGTGCTTGGGTGTGGACACAGACAAAGCCAGGCACAGGTGCTCAGCCCCACCCCACCCCCACTTCTGTTCATCCTCACAGTATCTGCGCCCTCAGCAGCCTTTCTTTCTACAGCAAGCTCTCTTCAAGGAAGAGAGTAAATTTCTGTCAGATACAGACAGGAGCTCTGTCAGGTAAAGAGCAGCAGCAGATGTGTCCATCTGCATTAAAGCAGGGCCAGGCAGAGAGGACTATAAGGATGGTATAGGCACAGAGTGCAAATGTCTCCTCCCCTCTCCTCTCTTTCCCTCTCCTCCCCTCCCCTCCCCATCTCCCCTCTCTTTCCTCCCCTCCCCTTCCTCTCCTTTTTCTCCTCTCCCT